AGCACCCCAGGGGCTTCAAAGGGCCCGGGAGGAGCCGGGGGGGCTCCGGTGTGCTCCCGAGCTACAGGCGAGAGGGGTGAATCCCGGGTTGGGGTGGGGACAACCCCCAGAACCACCCACTACCCCCAAGGCAGGGAGAGGCCCCCCTGCAGCGCTCTCCATGCCAGGAGGACGCAGCTCCAGCCCCAGGGGCAGCACCGAGCCCGGTGCCGGGGGGCTGTGGGGCGCAATGGGGTTTCACTTACAGCTCAGCTCCTGCCCAGGACCCCGCAGGCAGCCGTGGTGGGCACTGCCCGGGCTGGGGGCCTCGTCGGGGCCCCCCGGGGACGCGGGGCTCTTCTGCCCACCCTTCTTCTGGCCTTGGGGAGAGCACTACTGAAGCCTGAACTGCCCCGGGGGACAAGGGGACGCATCCCTGCGGCCAGGGCTCACCTCGGAAGTAGCCGTAGTAGCGCAGGTGGCTGCGCATGAAGCTGTCGTAGGGCTCGGGGACCAGCCCGCCGCCAAACCCCTCCGGTCCCCCCTCCTCCAGCCGGGCAGCGGGGCGCCCTGAGGGCTGCATGGCTGCAAAAGGTCCGGTGAGACCCTTCTCCGGTCCTGGCGGTGCCAGGGAGCTGTGACGCGGTCGCTGAGCGACCGGCCGGCAGTGGGGAGGGATGGGGCGGTCCCAGAGCGGAGCTGGGAAAGGAGCCAGAGGGATTTTGTTATCCTGGCAGACACCCAGGGGAGCCAGGCCACAAAGGGCCCCCAACAGCGTCAGCCCGGGCACATCAGCCCCAAACTGCCCCCGGCCTCCCACCACCCCGGCAGGGACAGGGACAGCCCCGGCTCAATCAGACGGCACGTCCCAAACTGCTACAATTTATTGGACAATGGTCAAGTGGTGAAGGGCTCTGAACTGTACATCTGTAAAAAATAAAATAAAATTAAAAAAAAAAAAAAAAAAAAAAAAGGGGGCTGCGACACGCCTCATGTGCTCGACGCAGTTTTCCTCCTCTTCAGCCGCGCTCGCCAGTCCTCCGGCAGCGCCTCGAAGTTGGCGTTCCTCTCGGCCATGCCACTGCGGGGACAAAGCAAGGGGTTAGCACCCAGGTGGCACGAGGTGACAATCCCCACCCGCCCTCGTGTGTGCCCCCCGGGGCCGGAGATGCGGACCCCCACTCTCTGCCTTTCCAGGGGACAAGGAAATGTCCCCCCAAGGAGGAGCCGGGCAACGTGCCACAGGGAAGGGCTGGCAGCGCCGGGGCCCCGTACCTCATCAGCTGCTGCTGCTTCCACTCCTCGATGCGCCGCTGGGCGGTGGTCTCCCGGTCCTCCTCGCTGGAGCTGGAATTCTCCTCCTCGTCCAGCTCCCGCTGGATGCTCTGCCACTTCTTCACCAGCGACGGCATCTTCGTTTTGCCCTTCTTGCCCTGTGCCAGAAATGCAAAAGGCCACGGTGAGGGTGGCTGGAAAGGGAGGAGAGGGCGCCCGGTGCGGCACCGGCGCAAGAGCCTACCTTGTCCTTCCGCCCCTTCCTCGGCTTCTCCTTCTCCGGCG